CATCCATCCATGCATCCATCCATCTATGCATCCATCCATCCATCCATTCATTTATACATACATTTATGCATTCATCCACCATTTATGTATGCATCCATCCATGCATCCATGCATCTATACATCCATCCATGCATCCATCCATCCATCCATCCATCCATCCATCCATCCATCCATCCATCCATCCATCCATCCATCGTCTGTTATTTAGCAGTTGACAAATTGAAAAGAAAAAATCAATTTGGAAAAATTTCACAAACTCAAGAAGAACATAATCTATTTTAAAGTACTTATGATGTGCATATTCTACAAATGCCATAAATGGGGGAAAAAAAACATCTTAACATTTAGGAAATTTGGGATATTACACATGATTTTACTCATTGTGTCACATAACTCACATATTTCATGTTGATGTTGGTGTGCCAAAGTGAAAAAGGGTAACTTCCTGTGATGATGAGCAAGAGACTTGACACAGATAAATAAAAGCTAAGTGGTTTATTTACAAGGTGGGTCTTCAGGGGTATCTGCAGGAGATGTGAGATGATGTGCATTGTTCCTTTTAGATTTGTTCTCAATTTCACAAGGGAAGATATAGACGCTTACCATCTTTATTGTTAGCGGGCTTACAGAGTAGGCCTGAGGATTCCAGGAGGGAGACAACTGTGAAGCACCGCTAAGTACTTTTGGTTGTAGGTTTGGAGAGTGGTAGGACAGAGTACTAGGCAGAGTGTTGTCCAGTATCATGAGGTAACCAATGTTCCAGCAGAGACTTGTGGATCCAAACAACCTTAAGGAGAACACGTCAAATGAACGGGGAACAGCTGCTCACACTTGATCACGAAGGGAGAAGCCGGATGCTGAGCAATAGATCACAGAGGTGGAGAAGCTCCAAACGCTGATAAGACCCTTACCGAACCCAAACAGACGAAACAAACAACAGTTCATCTCCAGTTCAACCACGGAGGAGAACAACAGGTCCATACTGCTAACAGCACCAGGCTGCTAACAATAACAGTGTTATTATAACACATTTTTATTTAACTTGCTTTTTATCGTCACTTACTCTTGTCTGTACTTTCTGTTGTCTGTTTTAAACAGGACTCTTGAAAATGAGTCCTCGTGACTCAATGAGACTAACCTGTAAACGTAAATGTTAAATGAAAATGACAAATCTCAGCTCTGCCCTGCCACTCAGGAAGCTGCAGTGTGGGCAGCCAACTCCAGAACCCCCACAGAGGTGGTTGTTTGTTGTGATATAAATCAGAGAACCACAGGAATCTGAACGTGTGTAACTTTAATGTCATGCATATTATGATTTGACGAGTAATTCCCTCCACGAGTTAAACAACGGTCATAGATTTGAGATCAGAAGTGTCGTCTCCTCTGTAGGATGTAGTCCCCCCCCCCCCCCATGCTGTTGGCCTGTGACATAAACTGCAGCGACAGGGTGGGAAAGGGACGGAGGAGTCTGAGCCCATGTGAGCATGTGAGTGTTCGTGTCGAAGTGTTGGCTCTGTGGCTCAAAGCACCAGAACCTCTCACACCCAGACCCCCCCAGGCTCCAGAAACACAACCACAACATCTGATTCTGCTCCGCCTCTTCCTCACAGGGCACACATCCATCCCTTCCCCTGACCGTCACCGGACAGTTGTTTTAATGCACGGGGGTGCGACCAACACCTCCACAACACGCCCCACTCTGAGGTTAAAGGAGTGGACAGATCAGGGTCACAGCTGCCACAAAGGGTCACTTCTCATCTTCTCAGCCTTTAATGAAGAGCTGCTCCGATAGACTCTGGTTTCAAATAAACATAATCCGCCTTCCATGCCTTGGGTGGTGGAGAAGCAGATTGGAGGCTGCGTTAGGAGGGAAAGTAAGAAAAACGATGACAGAGATCCACATTAAGCTGCTGACTCTGGGAGCTGCTGTTATGCAACGTCCTCATGCATGCAGCATTCATCCAGCAGAGAGGGACGCACCTCTCCTCTGCTAACAGGAATTCTTAAGCGCCCCTGCATCACACGTTTATTCTGCTGCTTGCGTAACGGTCTCTCCTGCCTGGAGAACCCGGAGGAAACGTGATCACTGGGAACACCTCATCCCTCTGGACGAGAAGCGATGACTCCATCTCTTTTCTTTCCCCTTCAACTCTTTCCCATGTTGGCAACAAAAACAGTTTCCCTTCACAACAGCAGCCATTACATCAACATGCCCGATGACCACTTGGGGGGTAAAAGGCAGTAAAAATGATCTTGGAGGGAGCTCGTAATGATTGAGCGATTAGTGACAACAGGGAAAAACATGTGGGGAGCCAGAAAAACTATTAAAAAATACAACAAAGTCCATGCTCAATAATCCAGGTATACAATCCAACATTTTTCAGTCGGGTCATCTGGACAGTTTTTTTTTTTTTTTTGTGCTGAAACGTTTTGCCTTCGATCCAGAAGGCTTCATCAGTCAAAGAAACGCACAACAAAACTGATTCTTCCCCCAACAGCTTACTCCAAAGTGGAACAAACCAGTTCTGCTTGTGATAAGATGGTCTCTTTGGTACGCCCCTCCTCCATTACCGGCCCTCTTCCTCCTTGACAGGCGAAACGTTTCAGCACAAAAATAAAAATAAAAAGAAACTGTCCAGATGACCTGACTGAAAAATGTTGGATTTTATACCTGGATTATTGAGCATGGACTTTGTTGTTTTCAACCAGTTTGACACGACTGTCAACAAGGAAGAGGGCCGGCAATGGAGGAGGGGGTGTCCCAAAGAGACCATCTAATCACAAGCAGAACTGGTTTGTTCCACTTTGGAGTAAGCTGTTGGAGGAAGAATCAGTTTTGTTGTGTGTTTCCTTGACTGATGAAGCCTTCTGGATTGAAGGCGAAACGTTTCAGCACAAAAAAAGAAACTGTCCAGATGACCGGACTGAAAAATGTTGGATAAAAAAATACAGTTTACCATGATGACTCAACTTATGGTGTTTACGTCAAAACCCTCCCATTTGTACACGTGAAGCCTAAGAATGACTGAGTGGAAAGCAACCTTGGATGTGTGGATTTACAGCTGGAGTTTCGATTTTAATTGAATCACATTAAAGCTACTCGCTACAAAATCATGAAAACTGTACAAAAAAAACCAAAACATGACATTTATTTGTACATTTCTGTCATGTCAGTGGTAAATGTGTCCTCAATTAAAAAGATGTAACCAACATTTGAGAGCAAATACAAAAGTGTTTGTGTGCTTTGTTTACATCGAGTGCAGACCCACATTTCAGAATTACGTTACTTTTCGCTGTATAAGTCAAATTTTTGTTGCATAATTTACATGCCCTGCAACTTATACGCTGAAGCGACTTATTTCTGTTCCCCCCCATATTTATAAACCAATTTTTGGCTGATATGACCGTTTTCATTCATTTGGATATTGAAAAATAAAAAGCACACTACCATTTTCAGCCACTAGATGGCACTTGAGTAGTATGGCATGCCGTTGTGTAAAAGTGACTATTAATGACACAATCAGCTTGCCATAGAAGCCACTGTTATCCAGCTGGTCTGGTGCAACCTTCAAATCAGCTTCATTTCGCTGCACCGCCTGGAGAAATGCAGCTGATTTGACCATCAAAGTCCTTTTATTAAGAAAATGTTCAACTGAGACACACCTTTACTATAATTTTGAGCAAACAAATAATTGTTTTTAAGTGTAAATCTTTTAAAATTCTGGTTAAAATCCTCGCATGCACGCTCCTGCAGCCGCCATGTAATAATAATAATAATAATAATAATAATAATAATAATAATAATAATAAATTTTATTTGTTAGTGCCTTTCAAGACACCCAAGGACACTTCACAACATTAAAAACACAAAATAAAACAATACAAAATGGCTTTAAAACACTAAACCAAGAATAAAATATATATTTGTTTAAAGTGAGAAGTCTAACTGAACACACGAGTTGTGTCATTTGGCAGCCGGTCAGTTTTTGGCACAACATCGACCCACATTTCCAGGTTGTCAGCTGTGACGCGTAAAAGATGCGACGTATTTATGGATTTTCCCACTTCATTAAACATTATTGGACTGATGCGACTTATAGGGCGGAAAATACGGTAATCAGCGTAAAGTCTTTCAAACGGGATCATACGAGATATTTTATGTTTAATGCAATACAACTTAATTTGACTAGATTTTTTTTTAACAGAAATAAAAACGGACCGTCTGAGGCGACTGAATAAACGACTTTAGTTCTTCAGCTTGTTCAATAAATGATGCTCGTGTGTCATTACCAGATCTTAAAGTCCATCAGTTCATGGGACCAGTCCAGTGTTTTAATAACGCCACACCCCCTGGAGACAAACGTTGAGTCTGAGCTTCTCTTATATGGGAATATAATCTACAACAGTGTTTTAGTGAAAAGGTTCATTTAATTATTAAAGATGAAGTCCCAAACGAGATAAAACCACCAGAGATGTGGTGTTGCCATGGAGACGCTGCGTCCCCACACTGGGTCATTGTTCTAATATGTGAACAAGCAGCACAGATTAGGATTAGGATTTATCGTTAAATATTTTCACCCGTCACATTTTATGAGATATTTTGCAGGTTGAGTGCAAACACCACGTCTCCCAGATGAACTCTTGTTCAAGAGTCACACGAGGCATCCGCCGGCTGCACGTGCGACGCGCACGGCATTTCCAGAGTTGGAGGAGGCGCGGGCTGGAGGATGGTGCGCATGAGCGTGATTACACACACACACAAAGGTCACCTGGTGGTGTCATGCAGACACTTCCACTTGGAGTCGCAGGTGGAGCGGTTCTGTCCGCGCGTGCGTTCACTTTGTTGGGTTCGGAGTGTCACAGGCAGGAAAGCCTTTTTTGGGCATTTCAGCACTGGACAGCTCTCCGCGTGGTTCTGCGTGCTCGCAGGCACGCACGCGCGTGTTTGCCATGTGTCTGGAGCGGTCAGTGTGAGCTGGCGGCGCGCAGGAGCCGAACCTGGAGCCATGAGCATCCCGGACTTCCTGCTGGAGGTGTCCCTCGTGGCTTCCGCCGTCGTCTCGTTCGTGACCAACGTGTCCGTGCTGCTCTGTTTCACGCAGAGCGCAGAGTTGAGGTCCCACGTGCCGGGAGTGTTCGTCCTGAACCTGTCCTGCTCCAACATCCTGCTCGCCCTCATCAACATGCCCGCCACTTTTCTCGGCGTGGCGACGCGCGCGCAGCCCTTTGGGGACCTGCTGTGCCGCGCCGTGAGTTTCTCTGAGACTTTCTTCAGCTCGAACGCGATGCTGAGCATGGCCGCGCTCAGCGTGGACAGGTGGGTGGCCGTGGTGTTCCCCCTCAGGTACTCCAGTAAGATGCGCCACAGGGACGCTGCTCGGATCGTAGCCGGCTCCTGGCTGCAGTCCCTCACGTTCTCTCTGGTCCAGCTCATGATGGACTGGGGGGGATACAGCCACACATACGCCTCGTGCACGGTCCACCTGGACGCAGTGCGCGCGTCCCAGCTGAGCGCCTATGCCACGTTCACGGTGCTGCTCCACTGCAGCAGCTTCGGGCTGAGCCTCCTCGTGCTCTGCGTGGCCTACCTGAAGGTTCTGAGGGTGGCCCGGTCCCACTGCAAGAGGATAGACGTGATCACGGTGCAGGCGCTGCTGCTCCTGGTGGACATGCACCCCAGGTACAGTATCCTGAGGGGGGGGGGGGGAGGGGGGGGGCGAATCAACACAATCTGTTTAGTGAAAAG